GTAAAGGCAAGGGCATCACCCCACCCTGGCCAGGCCGAGAGAGATACGGCTAGCCGGCAGCTCAGCTCGCGTACTTCCTCGGGCAAGGTCTGGTCGAGGAAGTACGCGAGCTGAGCTTAGCCCTCTTCCCATTAGACTTCTTCTTTAGGGACGGACGGACCTAGTTCAACATGTTAACCGAGCCAAGCCAACAACAATAAAAAGCCCTATTCTATTGGCTTAAGATTCGTGAGAAAGAGCAGGATATGTTGGTTCGAGAGAAACGGGATCCGTTGGTTAGGCGTCCGCCGATTCGTATGGGGATTGGGGTGCTTCTGTTCAATATTCCTTATTATTTGATTCGGTTGGATTCCGCCGATGGAGAATCGGTATCTCTTTCTGCGTCTTCGGCTTCGAGAAATGTGGTTTCGGGACAAGCAGCTTCGGGAGAAAAGGAATCTCTTGGTTCAGATGGGAATGCGTCTGTTGTATCGGATAGTTCCTCCGGAGCAGACTTAGCAGACTAACCTGGGATAATAGCCCTCTCCGTATAAGGCTGAATCAAGACTCGTGTTCACATACGTAATTCCTTGAGTTGAATGCCCCCCAACCTTGGCAAGCCATACCTCTCACCAAAGCGGACATCGGTCGGAAAACATGGATGGTTGAACGGACCTATCCACGTCACGGTACCCCGTTCGAACAATCACGCAATCTGGGCTTCGATCACGCTACCATCTAGTTTGGCAGCCCAAACGAAAACAAGAAGAACGAGCTGACGAAGCAAGATCGGCGCAGGTGCACAAGCGTATACCACGGGATGAATACTGACCGAGGACCTCCTTCGCCCTTGAGAAGGCCTTCCCAGCCCACAGAAAGCCTTCCTAGCCAAATGGGTCCAACGTAGCAAACTCTTTCACTAACATGTATCTCTACCTCAAATTCCCCGAATGCCCCTACCTAATAGAAAGAAAAGCCTTTGCCCATTAACAAACTCTTCCCAGCCCTAACCTCAAGTTTTCGCCTCCCTCAACCAGCCTATCCGTCATTGGACACCCAAGACGAAGGGGAACAGGGTCCGCCCAGGCTCTACGAAGTGCTCGCCCCAGCTATGAAAGGCATTTTGGAAACCAAATCCATCGTGGTCTGCTGTCCTCCCCTCATTCATAGTGGGCTCGAGGGTGACTGGTCGAGTAAATGAAAGTCTACTCTCGCAGAAAGAATGGGCGAGTGACTGCCTGAGTGCCGAGGGGGCGGTTCCTCTCAATGTATTCTATTATAACAATCAAACTCATACAAGGAGCATCAAAAGTAAAATTCACAGGTTTTTCCATGGCAGGTTCAAATCTCTTAAGCTTTTTTCTTCCCGATACAGTGCCACTCCTTTCATCTTTGGATCCACCAACGGGCGCATCCCACAACTCATTTGTCAACTAAGATCATTGCACCTACTTCTCTCATTCTTGATGAAACCTATTGCCAAGCGTAGTAAACGAGAAGATAAAGCATGATCCCATTCTTTTCCCTTTTATAATTGTAATGTTCAAGAACCTGGCTTTCTTCTCCTAGCACCAGGGTAACTACTTCCTACTAGACACGGAGGAAGAGCATTGGACATATGTAAGCTGCGACGGCAGAAGGGGACTACAACGCTATAACAAAGGATAGCAGCTGCTACCGATCCGTTAAAGGCAGGCAGGACTGGTTGGATTAGGTACTTTGTGATAAAGAACTTGGGAAGCTACCTTCAGCAGCTCTTGCCGCAACTAACAACAAATCGTTACTTGCTCTGGGGAAGCTACCTCCTTCAATGAATCTGAAAAGGCCTGGGGATTCCCTAGGGCGAAAGAAGAGGAGTAAAAGGAAGCATTTGGTGTATTAGTAGAAAGGCTTAAGCCTTCAGCTGCTAACTCCTTACTTGCTATAACCAGAATTGCTGGCCCTCGGCCTGAAACAAACGACGGACTTGATTGCTTACTTCCTGCAGCGCTTATGGCCGGGTTCGCTTACTGACCGGGTTCAACAACTGAATGACTTAATGTTATAGTCGTTACTGACTTCAGCGCTCTTATTCATTACTGGCTATTCCTCGCTTAACTACCGGACTTAAAGAACTCTAACAACAACCTTACTGACCGACCTCTACAGCTATAGAACTTAGAACTGAAACTGCTCCAGCTCAAGACGAAGCTTCATACAAAGGGGAGTTACCTGGTACCCGACGTTACGAACTGATCCTTTGAGCAGAACCGCCCTGCAGATGCTCTTGACTAAGAGATTGAAAAAGAAGATAACGAAGGAAGACCAGGAAAGGGCCTACAACAAAGAGAACTAAAAAAGAGAGAAAAGAGCCCCTTCTTATTAAATTAATAAGAGCGAAGGAAGGAAGGAACGGGGATATATTAGTCACAAAGCCCCGCGCTTCGGCAAACACCTTCCTTGCCGCAGTGCCATTTGTGGACTCTTCTAAAAGCCCTCGCTCACTGGAGAAAGGAAGAGAAGAACAGGTGAGGGAGCATTTTATGGTCTTAATAAAAGGAGGTTAAGGCGAGACTGGCTGTATTAGTAGAATGGAGCTAGACCTTCAGCAGATAACAACTCCCACAGAGAAATGAGCGACTGGCTAACAGCAGATAGAGATACCAGAACTCCTAGTTCCCAGAGGAGGGATCTAACTCATAGCTACATTCGCTGCCGAGCTTCCTTCTTGGATTAGTAGAAAGACTGCCCAGAACTGCGAACTTGAGCTACTAACACGACTCCTTAAATGACTCACTAGCAGGAAGGGATATAGCTCTTGGGGCAGATAGCAACATAGCTTACAGAGCTGCTAGCTAACGGCTCAAAGCTCTAAGCTCTGAAAATAGCTTAATAGAATGTTTTCTCTTTCTTAGTAGGAGTGCTCCTATGTTAGCAGGACATTTCGTGCAAGAACTAGGTTTGAGTTAGTGCACTAACTAGGTTGTTTTTTCTCCCCTAATGGCTCTATCTCTGAGGTAACCCGGACTAGTAGCAACCGATCCTAGTAAATAAGATATTGTTTCATAGAATTGGTTGTTCTTTCTCTCTCCTTTCTTCTAGAGGAATTGAGTCGTTCATTTCGGTCTAACTTCGTTACTGTACCCCGGTCTCACTCCGACAGCGTACTATCCTAGACCTCTGTCTATCCCTTGATAGAAATTCATAGTTAGGTTAGCCAGCCCGGTAACCCCGACAAGTGGGAGGCTCTTCACTTTCCCTATCATACGATTCTGCCAGACTATTCTATTTCATTCATTCTCCATTCAAAACCGTCTATTCCGGGAACCCATAATCTGACGATTCTTTCATATGATTTTTTTCGTGAATTCGACATCAGTGATCTACGACCATCCTTTCTTCTTTCCATTCCAAAAAGGAATGGTTGGTATGCGGTCCGTCCTTAGAAATTCCCGTGGAATCCCCCTTTTGTGATTGTTCCAAAGCGTGCTTCCGTTTCTTGTTCTTCGAGCTCAACTGGTCATGCTTCTTTCTCAGTTGCGCGATTCCTAGCTGCTAGATCCTAGATCAGAGGATGTAGGTGAGTCTGATTGTTCTGACTTCTACTGTTGTAAGTTGCCTTAAGGCGCCTTCCAGTTCCAGCCCAATCCAAGTAAGGATAGATAGTGAAACCTTGAGGTTTAGGACTCGCTATGAACTTCTTTCCCTCGTCATAGATAGGTAAAGTCCTTCCTCTCCTAAGGTCAGGTTTAGATAGGGTTATCTCAATTCAATCTTTGATCTGTCCTTGGGGCCAATGAGGCTAAAGAGCTCAGATTATGCTGGTGACTTAGACAAACGCCGGTCAACAACAGGGTATTTATTTACGCTTGCTAAAGGGCCGGTAAGTTGGAGGTCAACGCTTCAGTCAACGGTGGCTTTGTCTACTACAGAGGCAGAGTGCATGGCAGTGACGGAAGCCTTTAAGGAATCTATTTGGCTACATGGGTTGATTGAAGACTTGGGAATTGTTCAGAAGCACGTTGAGGTGTTTTGTGACAGTCAGAGTGCCATTTGTTTGGCAAAGAACCAGGTTCATCATGCCCGCACCAAGCACATTGATGTCCGTTTCCATTTCATCCGAGAAATTGTGAATGAAGGGGATATTCTGCTTCAAAAGATTGGTACTGCAGATAATCCGGCCGATATGCTCACAAAGGTAGTTTCTGGGATCAAGTTCCAACATTGTTTGGACTTGGTCAACATCTCTCGGAATTGTGCACCTTCGGGTGCATGGCAGTGTTGATCGATCACTATGTTGGATAAGAGAATCCTCGCCAAGGTGGAGATTTGTTGAATATTGGCTACAGATTCTGGCCATGTGATGGAAAGTGGCAGCCAGCTACATGGTGGGGAAGCCATGAGGCCATGTGAGTTGGCCATGAGGCCATGAGAAGCCATGTGAAGCATCAATCTGGAAAGCCACCGAAAGCACAACAATGGGCTGGCAGCCAGCCCATTTCAAAGACTTTCTCTTGCATTTGTAATCTCTATATATAGAGAAGCTAAGGAGAGTTGAGATGTACAGCTGAGATAACAGAGAGGTGTGAGCTTAGAGAGCAAAGAGAGAGAGAGAGAATTACAGAGAGTGTTGTAATTCTTACCATTTTGTTCAATATAGTGAATCCGCTGCCCGTGGACGTAGGCGACTTGCCGAACCACGTTAAATCTTGTGTGTTATTGCTTGTTTGAGTTCCCTGGTGTGCCTCCGATCCGCAACAGGATTGATTAATTTCACTTTGATATTTTGTGCATTCGCCGCCTTTATTGATATTTGCTCAGTATTCTATGTATATTAATTTTTATCAATGAAGTTTATCTTTTTTTGGTGAAAAATATTAAGGTTTTTGATGGAAAATGGTCATTGAGATGGTTAAGGTTAACAAACAAAATTGAATAAGTTTATAATTTTGACCTAAAAATACGAGCCATGTTGCTCATATGTGCATTTTTCATAAAAAAAAAATGCCAATGGGTATAATTAATTGAACCAAATTGAGACAAAATTAAGATTTTAGTTGAAAAATCTGCAAACTTTAAGAGAATTTTCAAACTTGTACACTAAGGCCTTGTTTGATTAACATAATTAATAGTAAAATGATTAATAATCCCATGAAATAATGTAGGATTAGTTATTCAATTAAATTAGTGAGATAACTATTCATTTTATTTTTTTTCTTTTATATTTGAAATTATGATTCTCAGCCCCTTTCAATATTAAAAATTTACCAATTTCGTTAGATTAAATGTCCGCCGTATATGTAATTCAATTAATAAAATTTGCAATCAAACATGGTATCGTGAGTCCATGGACTAATAATCTCAATCCTATACTAATCAAACATGTCCTAAATGCAAAATAGGAAAAATAAAGTCAGGCACAATTGTTAAAAACCATATAGAATTTTAATCTAATTCAAAGTTGGAAAAATAAAATTTGAGATCGATTTCATATCATTTTGTATTACAGTTTTCTATTTTGAATTGAATAAAGATTAAATGAGAATTATTTCAGTATACTAGAAATAATCAGTAGAACACTACTAGTCGCAAACAAAATTTACCAGCAGGTTTACTTCAAATGATTATCATCAAATGATTACTGAAAATGAAAAGTAATTTTCCTAGGCTTACATGCAAAATCTCTATAGTTCAAATATCTACCATGTCCACTACTAGCTCACACACCAATTCTACCTTTATCATCAGTCTTATAAGAAGATAGAATATTTTGTTAATTGTCCGTAGCTATAAGCTTCCATTAAATAAAAGGAACAAGTCTTTTATGTACTGAATGTTGAAGATTTTATGAAGAATTAAGTGAATGAATAATAAAATGCCATCGAGCATTTCATGCATTATATGAAGATTTTATGTACAGCTTTATGGATAACTTGAATTACTAGAAATTCTTGTAAGGTGAATGCCCATCTACACATTGCACACACATCACAAACCCTTACTTGAGTGTTGAGTGTCCGAGAAAGGTACTTCACACATTCAGAAGAATCCATGTTAGATTACTGACCCGTTTCCTTACGTACACAAGGGCAGGTCAGTCTTCACCCTAGCTAGGGCTAGTCCGCACTCTCGTTACAGTGATCTAGGTAGTTGAACTGACCTATGTCCCATTCTTGTCTTGACAAATTCTATCCCTTTCACATCTTTTCTTAAAAAATTCTATTTTTCTCACATTTGATTCCCCTTACGTATTTTAGTTGAAATGATCACACTTATGAATGGTAATGTTGACACTCTTTAAGGTGTCAGAAAAGAAACTAAGTTTTACTGCTCAACAATTTCAACATGTAGGTAAACTTTTACCCTGATCCTAGTCACTAATTTCCTTATGTCCATATTGTTGGCATATTTTTAAGATGTACTGGTTTTGTGGTTTATTGTATTTCTTCAACAACTAAATAATATTTTGTGTGCAGAGGTTCTCGCCCTGATCCCATATGGATAACCTGATGAACATTTACATGACCATGGAAGTTGCTTCAGGGGTTAATAATTTGTCACTCAAACTGTAACTTCAACCAAACTGTGCCTTCAACCAAATTCTCGGTTGTCTGTTCTGTTCTTTTCAGAACATGTAAAGAAACAAGTTCAAATATTATTAGAATTGTGCAGGTTAGCGTCAGAGGCTCAGAACAACTATTTTTATTAAAGATTATTATGCATCTTTTTATATTAGTACTTCAACCGATTTCTCAACCAAAAGATAACTGTAGTTATTGTTATTATTATTATTTTTACAGCTTTCTTCGTCTCAATTAAGAGAACATTTTACAGACATAGCACATTAAAAGATTTAGTTCTTGTTTATTGCAAATAGATAAGGTGTATATGGATGTTGAAAGCATCAGGTCATTGATAGTGTGAGATTCTCTTGTTAAGATCCATAACTGGATTTTTTTTCTGGTTAGATACAGACGAAGATTTAGCATGTTTGGCATAGTGGCAGCAACTCATGGGTTTTGAACTTTATTGCTGCCTGCAAGTTGCAAAACCTTGCAGAATAATGAGTTCTGTGATTGCGGGAGGGTGCTTCATCTCTCATCAGTTCTATATACTCTAATATCAGCAAGTTTTTCAGCTGTTGAATAATTTACGAAGGTAATTTTATGTCTCACCAATTTTGAGTAAAATCTGATGACATAAATTGTTAAGAAACCTCAATTGGACAAAGCAGTGTGTAAATAGTGTTTCTTTGAACTATGTTGGTAAAAGAGATTAATCCAAACAGAGCTCTGTTGCCTATTCTGTTGCAACAATTTTATGATTATATCATATGACAGTAAAGATGTGATAATGTTATCTTGTCCTTGGTATAAATATAACCAATAAGAGGATATATAGATGCATTCTTAGAATTGTTGAATAATGGTCCCTGTGAAAAAACTCAAAATAAAAATTACAAAATTAATAATCATCTGATGCCTGATGCGTCATACGTACAGAAGGTATTTTTTTTAAGAAATAATTCAATGGGTTTCAATGTGAGATAATACCATATGAACATTCAAACTGATAATCTGAAGAACTTGTTCATTTTATAGTTCTACCTACTTCAGAGAAATGCACTGGCACAGACAGCTCAAGATTATTTCTTAATGTTTTGGTGAGACAGGATGGTGAGTCTTTTTTTGTTTGTTGTGGTTCCACTAAGCCCAAAAATCATCTTTGTTTATACACTTTGGTCTTGCTTGAATATTGCCTATTTTATTTTGAGTTTAAATTTTTATTGTTTTGATTTGATTCACAATGAAGGGGTTATTCTTCAGTTGTAGTAATTATATGTAATTTTCAGTGGCCTAGGATGAACAATATCCTTCAAAAGGCTTATACCAGAATTGGGGATTAAATTTTTATTATTAATTTTTTCATGAACTATGCTAGATTGACTTTGCATTAAAACTTCCAACTAGTAATCTGGAATTCTCTATGGTAGAAAGATAATAAGCAGCTCCCTAAGGCTGTTTTTGTATCATGGATTTGGATAAGGATTTGAAAAAGAGAAAGGGTAGAGCTATGAAGCACAAGTATAGGTACGGGTATAAGTACTGATACTGGTACGATATGGGTCGATACCGTAAAATTAAAAAAAAAATTGGGTACCGGTACCGCTTGGTACACTTGCAAAAAATATTTATTTTTAATTTAGAGTAATGCAAAAATTAATTAAATGGTTTAATTTGTTAAGGTTCAACCTACAATTAACATTTAATGTCAAAAGTATAGATATAAATCAAAATTAAATATCAATATATTAAATAACTTACAAATCATAATTTAATTTTAGAATCATGCTAAGTATAAAATAAAAAATAAAAAAGAAATCTAATGAAAGGAGCTTTATCCCTGTGATAGAAGAAAATATTATTTCAACTGAGATACAGTACAACTTGTGTATATATACTAGGTACGTCTAGATAAGCCAAAAATTAAGAAGAAAAAACTTGGATACGTGTTTCGTGGATCCGGTACGTATGCAGAAGTATTATACGAGGTATCATGTGCCAGTAAATACCCTGTACGGGTACGGCATATTTTCCGAAGAGTTATGGATAAGGTGAATGAAATATATGCTAGTTTTTTTCTCCATTTCCCTTTCCTTTTCTAAATTCATATCCAAATACATCATCCAAACACAGTGGAGGGGGGAAAAAAAAGGAGGATAATAAGCACCATGCTTGCTTTGATCAACTGAATTGAAGATTCTATTATGCATCAGATTAGACTAATAAATAGTGACCTTGATAAGATCTATCAGTTGGGAATGGCTATAATGATGCAAGGACTTGATTTCATGAACAAGTTTTAGTAACAAAGCCTTGCGGACCTGTATGCTCAGTTCATCTAAAGTAGTTTCTTGTTCTTACAGCTTATGTAATATAGCTTAAATTTGTTGAAAAACGCCGATTATCCTGAAATTAAGGGAGGTTTAGTTTTAGATTTTGCAGCTTTTAGCTTAGAATTAGCTGTAGCAAACGAATCCTTAGAGATGCTTAACACTTATCCTTGAAAGTAGATACGAAGTTTCTTCAAGATATGGTCTTGAATTAGGCACAGACCTTGTTTAATGTGCCATCATTTGATTCAGGTTGCTGAAAGCTTTCATGCTAAAAGATGTTATATTGTAGAATATGTGCCATCAACTTGTTAGTGCAGCATTTTAATTAGCTCTTGTTTGGAAACCGAGAAGACAAAGGAAAAATAAGAAAAACTCAGTCGGATTATATGACACAGGCTGTGAACTGAACCAATCAATTGCATATGAACAATGTGCAAGTGCAACATCACTAATCATTCCTATTTTGATACATTGAAACTGACTCCCTTTTATTATAGTTTTTTTTGTTTTTAAATGGAAAATATTAGCAAAAAACATTAAGGAAATATCTGGTTCTAAGTTACCCTTGTTCACATGCAAGAACAGATGGCTTACAGGCACTGATCTTGTCTTTTGGCTTAACACAATTGCTTTTCCTTTGCCCGTGTTTCAAAACCTTCATTTCAAAGCACTCAAACAAGTGCTCCAACTCTGAAATATCCTCTTCAATATCTACCGGTTGTTCATTCCCTATTGCCACCCGTCGTTTGAAGCCCCGGACTCTCTCCAGGCAAACTCCAACCTCCACCCCCATTTCCTCCATCGTGGTGCACATTGCCACGTTCTCCTTTTGTGCTTCTTTTAACTTCCTCTTCACAGATCTATACCCGTCGATTGACCTCAATAGTTGCTCTGAAAGTGCATTGTTTTTCTCTTGGAGGATTGCATTCCCATGTATATCTCCTCCTCCATCACTTGTTTTCCTCTGTTTGTGCTCAGCAGCACACTCTTGAACTTTTGCCAGCAATGTCTTATTTTGTGCTTTAAGGTCATTGACAAGTTCCTCTATTCCATTCAATTCTTGAACCTTCCTAGCTAATTCAGCTGCCATAATCTGTTTCTCCTTTCCTATGCTACAACACATGACTTCAAGGCTCTTACGTGCGGTGGAACATGCAATGATCTCTCTTCTTAACAAGTCTTTCTCATCAACAGGTTCAGTGGGCCTTTTGTCCCTTGGGACATTACTAGGCCTAAGGAGTTCAGTGTTGCACCGCCTCAGCTCGGCTTCCTTTCTCTTGCCAGAAGATTGACACTTTTGAATCCGCGCTCTAACATTGTCAAGAATGGTCATCATTCCAGCCACCCTTAGCATTCTTCTGCTATCATTTTTCTCTTTAGCGCATGCTTCTTTGTGATCTTGAATTAGTTTCAGCAACAACCTGACAGTTGCAGTGACACCTAATTAACAAAGAATCAGAGTCAGGCAAAGATGAATGGTCAGCAATTTTTGTTAATGGAAGTGCAATTCCTTTTGGGTTAGTTTCTTCTATATATTCTCATTTTCTTGGAACATAACTAGCTTCATGAAATTATATTGTTTAGGTGAAGGAATGATTATCTTCTCTTAGTTGGCTTTTAGAACAGAATTGCAACATATTATGCATGCATACACTATTAACAACAGAATTGCATCAAAACATTGAGAGCATTGTCCAATTATTGCATTGTTTAAAGGACCAGATTCTATTCAAATTTCTTCAAAAAAGGGGAAAAGAAAAAGGAAAAAAAAAAGAAGAAGAATATGAAAAACATTTGAGGAGGGTAATTCACCTTCTAAACTCGAATCATCGTGCTGTTCAGAGTCTGTTGAAGAAGGGTGTAAGTTGGGGGTTGAACTCGCTCGAGTCCTATTCATATTTTTCCAAAAAGCAATTGGGATACAGCGAGAAAAATTCCAAGACAAAAACTGTGGTCTACAATATGAAACCTTCTCGTGAAAAGGGAGCTACAAACAGTGGAGGACGTTAAATTGAGGAGAAAGGCTTGAGGGTACTTTGTAATGGTAAAAAATAAAATAAAAAATCTACTACTCTAATATGTTGAGAGATCCAAAGAAAGGCAGAATTGATATTGCTGTCTGTTCTTTTCTTCCCCTATTTCTCTCCCCGTCTGTCTATGTTTTTTCTCTTCAACTTGTTCAAATGCAGCAAATATTCTATGATTTTGTTTGTGCTCCACCTTTGACAGAATGGTTGGTTCATGGTTAGTTAATTTAGCGCAATTATTGGGGAATAGTTTTGACTATTTCAATGGCTGTTGATTATTTTTATTTATTTTTAATTTTTTTTAAGACACACACAGCTGTGGCCTCTTGTGCCCATGTATGTAGGAGGAGCCTATTTACAAAAATGAATATTCTGATTTCATGTATGGGATCTTAATCAAAAGCACACGTGTCCCAGTGATCTTTTTTGAAGTATAGCATATTGGGTTGCCTTTTTCTTGCAATTGACTCTACACTGAATAATTATTATGTGTTCTGGGGTATTACCTAATGTTCCATAATCACATCATGATGTAAATCTCTTGCATTTATATTTAGACATAACAAGATCGTGTGATTCTTATGCTGTGTTTGGTTGGGAGATTTTGGGAGGGATTTGGAAAGGGAAATGGAAAAGGTAGGTGAAATTTGAATAAAATATGTCTATATTTCACCTAATTTCACACACATTTTCTCTACTTTTTTCATTTCCCTTTTCAAATCGCTCCCCAAATCCCCAACCAAATACAGCATTAAGGGCACTGGGATATTAGTGCCCATCTTTAGAGCATATGACAACTTCTCCTCTGCAATGTGTGAGAAAGTAGTTTGTTTTTCTCTCAACAAATTACTTGTAATTTGTATTTGATTCACTGCCTTCAAACAGAATCTGTGTATGTATTCATATTGTCAATGAACTAATCTAAGCTGTCAAATTATTGACCAAAATGTTAATAATAAAAAATAAAAAATAAAAAAGCAAGAAAGAAACAAACAAGATCACAAGGTCCTGAACTTGGTCAATTTTGCTTTGCCAGCTTGATCAGTTTGAAACATTTTTCATTTTCACCTATATTTATTTATTTAAAATTTGTTTTTTGGTGGGTGTAAAAGACGTTTTTTTCCTATGGTTTTAGTTTCTGACATTTTTCATTGTGGACTACTAGCAGTAAATCCGTGTCATGCATGGAATAAAAATAATAAATTTAATTATATTTTTGTAGTACAAATTTAAGTGATATATTATTTTGTTACAACGTTATACTAACAATATGAATTATGTAAAATATTTTATATCTTTCTAAGAAACTTTTTTTTAAAAAAATTATTAATGTAATAACAAAATATTTTGCGAAAATAAATATTACATTTTAATATAAACATTTGAAAATAGTGTTAGTGCGTTTAAAACTTGCTAACATATTAACTATACATTGAAAATTCATCTAAACAATTTAAATTTAAGCTAGTAAGATATTTAGCTCTAAATATTTAAAATACTTTGAATGTGAGTTTGATATTAAATCTTAAGAAAATATTTATCATTCTTTATTTAATATTAAAAAATGAAAATAGTGTTAGTGTGCTTAAAACTTGCTAACATATTAACTATACATTGAAAATTCATCTAAAAAATTTAAATTTAAGCTAGTAAGATATTTAGCTCTAAATATTTAAAATACTTTGAATGTGAGTTTGATATTAAATCTTAAGAAAATATTTATCATTCTTTATTTAATATTAAAAAATTAAGTTCTACTAATTACAAATTATAAAAAAATAGCATTATTCATTTATTACTTGAATTTTATGTATTTATTTTATTAAATATATTCAAGTATCATCGACTTAAATTTTTTGTTTTTTCAATTATGAAATATATTCGTAATACGAAAAATGTAGTGAACTATGTATTCACAGCTAAATTTTGGTTGAATATTTTTTATCTTATCACATACTTACTTAAATTAAGCTTATTCATAATATTATACTATGGTTAAGATATTACATACCTTTATCTGACTTCCTTTAAAAATGGACATTTTATTCAATATAAATTCAATTTTATATAGTAAGAGAGTAAATTTTTTTATTTAATTATAAGTAAAATAGAATAATAGTTTAAATTGCCATAAAGAATGAAATTGATAAATTTTAAAATATTAATTAGGTCCAAAACTATGTATTTATCTCATCAATCATACTAAAAAATTATGTTAATTGAAATTACATTACATTACATTAAATAAATAAAGAAAAAAAAATTTGAAACTTAATTTCTTCGTTATTGACAATAAAATCATATTGTACTATAATTTATATTCGGGAATGAATTTAGTAAGAATAAATTTTAATTTGTAAACAAATTATTAATAAATTCAATAAATTAAAACTCGTGTACGAACTTATTTCTTAATTTTTTTACGCCCGTGCATGGGATTTAATTTTTTATTCTTAAATTTAACCGTTTCATAATTTCAAAAAAAAAAAACTAAAAGTATTATCATAACAAAGAAATTAAATTTCAAATATTATCACTCCATTACTTTAGTATCATGTCATTTACTGAGCCAGTTTGGTATTGAGTAACATAATCATGACTAATTTAGTACAACTCATATTTTTAGTGCAACATTTGAGAATTATTATTATTATTATTATTATTATTATTATTATTATTATTATTATTTGGGTAAAAATTTTAGTTTAAAATTTATTGTGAGTGGTGAGGGCTTATGGCTAGCAATCGTTATATTCTTTGGAATCTTGATCTTAATTTTGATTTTATGTTATATTATTTCAAAATTCTTTGCAATTTTCATAAATAAATCAATTTTCTGAATATATCTAGCTTAAGTGTTGATTCACATAGGAAAAGCTAGCTTAACTATAAAGATATTATTTTAAATTTGTATCCATGAGTTTAATTTGATTGATTCATGATAATTTTGAAAGTTCTAAAAAATTTAAGAATGAATTATAGTTTAATGTTAATAATGCACAATTCTCAATTCATGCTATGATTTTTGCTTCAATCAAAAGATGATTTTTATGAATATCTTCGGTTTATGATATGAGTTTATAAATTAAATTGCAAAGGTTTAACTACTAGCTAAAAAATTATCATATATAGCAAAAATCAATGATTAAATGACACATGTGTTTTTATATTTTCATGAACTCAAAAAGTTAAAAACATTGTCTACATTTATGCATAATATTTTTTAGAATAAGATTTTATTTCTAAAAACAATTAGAACTAAATATTTTTAATGTAAATAATTAAAAAATACAGTAGTGTAATATATTCATGTGTATATAAATATTACCATATTGATAATAAATCAGTAAAAATAAATGTGCTTTAAAATTAATAAAAATTCAAAATTTAATTTACTTTCTAAATTGAATGACATGTGTATTTATGTATTTTAGAAATTCAAAAAATTAAAAAAATTGTGTTGAGAGTTTCAAGTTCAAAGGCCTCTTTGTACTCAAAAATTCTTTTTGCCACTCAAGAAATCTTGTAGATGTAAACACAAAAAATCTTGTTGATTAAATGCAGGCGTGCCGGAACTTGTGAACCTAATTCAAAGTATAAGAATTGTTGACAATTTCTGGTTTCTAACACAGAGAAATTACTGTGTGGAAAAGAGGAACTGCCTCTGGTTCGGATCTTACCCCAATGAAGAGGACTTTTAACAAATTTATAAGTGCCAAAGATAATTAGACTAAAATTGTGACTTGCATTGATTGGAAATAAAGTACAATTGGTAATCTAAGATAACTAAGCTAAGCAGCTAAAGGAATTAAGCTATGAATCTACGATAAGTAAGCTATGAAGCTAAGCTAAGGTAATGAAGTTATGAAGTTAAGATAAATAAGCTATGAAAGTAAAATGAATTGAAAAACATGTATTGAGAGACTCTTGATCGAGTGTTTGGTCGGAGACCCCTTCAAATGTTGTACTTGGAGCCCTTCATATAGTGTTAGGGAAGTCTCAAATCCTGCTTAACTGCCAAAAATGTGGCAGTGTATCCTGGTGACATGTGATCTTGATGCTAGTCTTCATTTCTTAAGAGTAGGAATGATTTTGATTTTCAAAGATTAGAGCCTTTTTTCATCATCTTGACTTGGTCCATTAAGTTCCCATAGGCCACTACGTGTCCCTCAAGAATCAAACTTGAATTTATTATGCTTGATTTATGGAAAAATCTCCTTTGTTATTGCATGGATCTCCTTCTCTTTGTTGTGTATGCCTATCCAAAAGGAATTCAAAAAAATCAATCTTGTCTTATTTGGAAAATAATCCCTTGATTGTAGTTGTCATACCCCAAAATCAGGCATGACCGGACATGGCCCACAAGGATTTAGCCTGAGGCACACGTAAGCCTAAACAAGAACCCAATATCACAAAGAATAAATGTAACAATAGTCCAGTAATAAATAAATCAAAACTCCATCCAGTGACATGTGACGCCCCAAAAATCGCGAACTTCAGAGAATATATTATCAATTAAATATAGGGTTTATCTAAGGTTAGGAATCTAGGAAATGACACTAATGAGTCCTATGGCCAATAACCGAGTAAGATACCAGATCGCCGCAGGAGTCAAGTTAGCCTCCCTTCTAAGTCCAGCTTTCTTAGGTAGCACACCACCCTTTTGACAGATCTTAAAAGGCATTGATGCAAGGTCTCATAAGCAACGTAGAGATAGGCATAGGATTACAAAGTAAATAATAATTACAGCATCTCAAATTTTAAATTTATAAAACGAGTTCCAATACTATTACAATAAAAAAAGAATAAATAAAAGCACAATTAGACTAATGAGTGAAATGGTTCCAAACTTTCTTTAAGGAAAACTTAAGTCTTCAAATGTCTTTGACTCTTCGTTGGCTTCGTACATTT